AGGGTTCCCCCCCCCCCCCCCCCCCTGCCCCCGCGTAGCTGCCGCGGAGCAGCAGTTGTCGTCGGTTGAGTACTCAGACTTCCAGCTCCAGCGGCAGCGGCAGGAGCAGCAGCAGCAGCTGCAGCAACAACAAGAAAGACAGCGGGCGTGGTGGCGTCAGCAACGGCTGCACAAGCAGTCTCAGCAGAACCATCTCGAGGAGCGGCGGCGGCAGCAGGAGGAGGAGGAGGAGCAGCAGCAGCAGCAGCCCCACCACCAACGGCCGCAGCAGCACCGGCAGCGGCAGCAGCAACACCGGCGGCAGCAGCACCGAGCATGGAACGGTGCGGTGGCGGCACCCAGCGGCAGAGACGAAGAGGCGGCAGATGACGACGACGAAGAAGAACGTGGAGAGCACAGCAATGGCGGGGGTCCCGCGACTAGGACCAGGACACCCCTCGCCCCCGTACCGCGCGCTCGCGACGAGAGGCGGGTGCGGAGCGCCTTCGGTGCGTGGAGAGCGGCGGCGACCAGGGCGGCGCGCGAGCGCCGGTCTGCGCGGCAGGCGGCCCGCAGGGCGGCGAGCTCGGCGGCCGTCGCGGCCGGCGCAAGAGCGGCGGCGGGAGTGATCGTGCGCGCGGAGAAGCGAGCGGTGCGCCGGTTGTTCCGGCTGTGGATGCGCGCGGCCGAATATGCGAGGCGGAAGGTTTGTGTTTTTGTCTCGAGTTGCCCGACAGCAAGGTTTTTCTTGCTCTGATGGTGATTCCGAGTGGTTTGTGTGTGTGCCCCGACAGTCAACTGTGAAACTTTTTCTCACGGCGATAAGAAAGAACGGGGTGCAAGCTTGATTTGCAGCTGTTCTACCTCGGGCAAATTGAGGAACGATGCCAACACGCACTTGCTCGTGGTTGATTGTTTGCGTCCCATGTTTCGCTTTGCCTGCACCCGTCTGTCTTGACAGGACCTTGCGCGGCAGGCCGCCCTCCGACAGGCTACCAGCCGAGCCGCGCAACGCTGTCGGCAGCTGAAGGTCTCGGCCTTCCAGCGCTGGCGGCTGGCGACGGCGGCTGCGGCGGTGGAGCGGCTGAGGCGGCGGGAACGGGCGGGGAGCGTCGGGCGCGGGGCCGTGGTGGCGGAGGCCGTCCTCCGGAGGCGTAACGCCGGGAGGGTGCTGTCCGGGTTTCGACGGTGGAGGGAGGCCGACGAGGAGGTGAGAAGAGCATTGGGCCCAGGCGTAACAAGGGCGGCGGGGTGGAAGAGAGGCTGGACGGACAGATGGCACGAAGTGGGCAGACGTTTGGGTGATCGATTCATGTTTGGATGCGCGATGCTGCTGCTGCTGCTGCTGAGGCGGTCGAGAGGATGCGCGTGCTTCGTGGCACGGGCCTGCGCAAACTATGATTGACCGGACGATTCAGCGGTAGGCTCTTGGTTTTGACGAAGACCAAGAAAAACCAGAGGCGCGTTGCTAAATTTGGTTGCCGAGCTGTCTCTCGTGTGGTCGATATTCTGGGAGAAAGAAAACATCAAAACTGCTGCAGCAACGAACGGCTTCATCTGCACAGAGAATCAATCCTGAAGAGAGTCAACACTTCCTGCTCCGTCCTCGGTGCTTCAATTTGCTGTCCCTCTATCGATTAGCGCCCCATCTACCTTCTCCCTTAATTTCCAAGCTATCCCCGTCGGGGTCTCCCTCTTCCCCCCGTCTCGCCTAACCTCTGCTGTGGCTAGGCGTCATGAACCCCCCCCCCCATGCTCGCGCCAGCTCGTGCAGGCAACGGTTGCTGCTGGCCAAGCCCGCGACCGCCGCGCAAGGGCAGCCGCAGCCACCGCGGCGCTGCTCCACCGGCGCCGCCGCAGCCTCCTCAGGCAAGGGCTGCAGGCGCTGGGCGCGGCGGCGAGGGCGGCGGCGGAGCGCAGGCGGAGGGCGGAGAGGGCAAGCCTGTCCGCGGCGATGAGCAAGTGCGCTGCCCGGACGCTGGTGCTCACCCGGTGCTGGGATGCTTGGAAGGCGGCCGCTACCGCCGGCGGCCTGGCGAGAAGGTGAGAGGAAGCGCCCGGTGGGTGGGTGGGTGCGGGAGGTCAATGACAAGAGTGAGGTGCCTGGCGTGCTGGATTTGTTTCGTCTTGGCGTAGGAAGGACGTTTCTCTGGGTGGCTTCGAGACGCGGTTGGGGAGAGGAGGAAAGGTGGTGGGAGTTTTTGGAAACCGAAATGTACCTTTGCGATTTTGCCTACCTTCCCCTTGAAGGTTGGGCTCGAGTGAGTGTCTGAGCTTCCGTGTTGGCCTCAAACCCACTACTTCGTGGGAGGGATACCTATTTTGGCCCTCTTCTGCCCAGGAAGCGCACGTCTTTTGTGTGTTCGAGCCCGATGTGTGGTCGGATATATATATATATCGCATTTCGACGCGTGTGCACGTTACACCAGGCTGGCAGCCGCAGGGGCGCAGGCCCAGCGCATGGCGGCGGAGAGGAGGCACCTGCGGGCCGAACAGCTGGCGTGGGTCTGCAAGGCCGCTTTGGCGTCATCAGACGTGCGTCGAAAAGCGCGCGCGTGGCGCTTGTGGCGTCAGGTCCAGGTCAGCAGCCCAGAGAACATATACCAAACCACTATACCAGCATACACGTTTTTTTTAGTGCTCGTCTTGTTGCCAGCCAGCTTTTGGATGAGTTGTTGTCTGTATATGGGCAGATGCCTACGTTTCGAGACGAGTGCTCGTCTTGTTGCCACACAACGTTTTGATGGGTTGCTGCTTGTTGGAAGGCTCTACAGTGCCCCGACCTCGCTTTGTTGCGTGGTGCATACATATTGCAGTCAGCAACTGTTGCATGGTCGATGTTGGACAGCGTGGCGTTCGGGTGAGAAGACCGTGGTAGGCAACTCGCGGATGACCCGTCGCCGAAGATGTTGTCGCTGTCTTCTAGGCAACGAACGTCCTCGGCCGACTAAACTCGCCATCCTTATCCTCTCGTGATGCACACTCTTCTCACGCCCCTCTGCCCCCCCCCCCTCTTTCCCTCTCAGGGACGTGCCGACACGGAGCACGCTCTCGTCAACCGTGTTCTCCTCGCCGGCGCTCAGCGCTGGCGCACCGGCCGCCTCCGCGCGGGCGTCCGGAGATGGACGATCGCTTCCAATGCCGTTCGGTCGGAGAGGGAGCTCGTCCGCTCGCGGGCCGCCAAACTCGGGTCGGTGTCCGTGTTCCTCGGAAGCGGTTCGGGAAGCCTGAGGAGGACCCCGAGGATGGACGTCGCGCGGGCGTTCGGGACCTGGGTGCGAGTGGCGGAAGGCCGTAAGGTGGGGTGCGGGGTGACTTTTTTTGCCGGTTTTTGGCTCGCCTGTTGTTTGTTTTGTGGTTGTCTCTGTGATGTTTGGTTGGTCTTGTGGTCGTTTCGCTGTGTGTACGTTCTTGTACGCGTTTTGTAGCTAAAGGTGGAGGCTATTATAGTCATTACTCTTTGGCCAGGTATGCCAGTGTTGTTTGTCGCCCGTTGCCCCCCTCCCGCCCGGGGTATCTCCAGTCCACCAAACCTACCGCGTCGAGCCCTCTCAGAGCGCGTGACACGCGATACGATTCATCCCCCTCGCTCATCGCTTTTCGCGTGTTCCTCTTTTTCTTTCGCGAACCATGATCTTTCCGCGGCTCCAGGTCGAGTCCCTCAAGAGGCGTCAGGGGGCGCGCATCCTCCTGGGGGTGCTCCGTTTCTCGCGAAGAAACGCCCTCGCTCGCGCGGTAGGCACTTGGCGCTCGGCCGCCGACCGGAGAGCGCGAGAGGGCCGGTGCGTCCACGACCTGGCCCTTCGGACGGCCCACAGGCAACGCTTGTTCCTGCTGGGGAAGGCTTGGGCACGAATCGCGTGGGCTGCGGGGGAGCGGGAGGCGGCCCGGGCGCGGCAGGTGCGGTGTTGTGTGGTAATGGTTTGTAGCGGACTCCACCTATCTACCTTGTCTATACCAGGAATGCTTGGATAAGATAGTGCCTGTTCGCCCCGCTTTCCGTCCTGGTGTAGTACAGGACTCTGCATTGTTGGTACAGTTGCCAAGATTATTTTGGAATCCGGGTCTATCGTGTTTAACATTGGTAAAATACTGTTTATATCCATGTCACCCCAGAACGAGGCCCATGTGGCGGTGGAGGTCTCCCTCTTACCCACAGTGCGGAATACCGTGCACTTGTCACCACTGACTTGCCGCCAACTACTCTGGAGATCATTACCCCGCCCTCCCAGACCGTGTGCAAGTTCGTCGTGTATTTTCTCGAGCCTTCTCACGTACTAGTTCCGACGATACATCCGGTGATACCGACCCTCCTTTTGCCGAATTTATTTTTGTTAGCTGGGTGCTGCACGCGTCTTCCATAGCCTGGTGGCGTCATCCGCGCGGACCTCACGCCGCAGAGCCTGGACCCGATGGAGAACAGCCGTCGCCGAAAACGCCGCAGCCGGCCGCTTGCGCGGCGCGCAGCGCCGCGCCCTCCAGCGGTGCGTGCGCTCCCGCCGGCTGCGCGACACGCGAGCGGCCTGGGAGAAAATGCGGAGAAATTTCCTACGGTCCCGCGCCCTGGTGTCCGGAGCCGCCCGCCTGGACTGCGTCCTGGTCAAGGCGCGGCGGCGAGCGGTGTCTCGGCGGCTGGGGTCGTGGCGGTCGGAAGTCCTCGCGGGCGCGATTGACGAGCGCCGGAGGGAGAGCGTCCGGGGCAGGAGGCACGCGGCGGCGAGGCTGTTGGGGTCGACGGCGGCGCGGGTGAAGCGGAGGCGGCTGGAGGGCGGGTGGCGTGCCCTGGCGACATTCGCGGAACGGGCGCATCGGGCGGAGGGGGAGGCCTCGGCGAGGGCGGGGCACGCGGACCGTCTGGCGCGCGCGGCGGCGGAGCGGTTGAGGGGGCGGGTGCTGGGCCGGGCCTGGCGAGCGTGGAGGGAGGTCCTGGCGCAGCGGCGGCTGCAGGGAGCGGTGGGCGCCGCGACGTCATCGCTGGAGGAAGAAACAGTTTCGTTGGCGAGGCAGGTGCAGCTTCTGAGGCTGTCCGGGGCTGTCCGGGTCATTTTTTCCGCCGCCGAACGGTCGAACAGGTGTGTACCGTGATTTTGTTGGCTATTCCGGGTTCGGATTGTTCGTTCAGCACCAGGGTTAGAATGGGAGGCGGTGGCAGGGTTTCGGAGCTTTTTGCGTAGACGTTGTGTCCGGGCCTCTGTGCTATGGTATCCCGCGGGGCAAGACGCATCCAACCTTGTGCTTTTTCTGTGAAAGTATTTGCCGTGTTGGTTCGTTGACAGCGCCGAGTTGTGGCTTGCTGACGCCCATAATCATTCAATCTCTCCGTACCTCTCTCCGGCTATAGATGTTCGCGTGTTTGATCGATGTCATCGTTGCTCGTTTGTCTCGGTTGTTCTGTTGGTGTTGGGCCTCAGCAAGCTACACGCTGCACTTACCTCTCTCGGTAGCTGCTATGGAGAAGATGATGGGATGAACAAGACCAACACTTTTGTAATACGGTATTATGGGTTGAAATGACAGAGGAAACAAGCGACAACCAAACGCGTTTAATCTACTGACGTTGTCATCTGCCCTCCCTCCGCGCGCCTACGAACCAACCCTCCGCCCCGTTCCCTCACCGATCATCGATCTCGAGAAAAAGGGTTCTACTGCAGAGAGGCTGGCGGGGGCTACGCGAGGCGTCGCAGAGGCGAGCCGTCCTCCTCCGCGCAGTGGGCATCTCCTCCCGCGCCCGCTCCCGGCGCCTCGTCCTCTCCCTTAACCGCTGGCGCCTGGCGACGAACGACGCGCGGACGGCCCGGCTGAGGGCGGGAGCCGGGCGGTCCGTGCTGGCGGCGTGCCTGGCCGGGGCGCGCGGCCGGGCCATGCGGCCCGCGTGGGAGTGCTGGCGCGAGCTCGTCGCGAGGGAGAGGGGGGAGGAGGACGACTTCCCCGGACGGGAGGAAGGGCTCCTCGCTTTCGCCTCCGTCATCTCGAGGGTCGGCAGGCGGAGCGGACCGGGCCCGGAGGCTGCGGGCGTTCGGGCTGTGGAGGCTTGGGGGGGCGCGCTGGGGGGCGCCGTGGCCCAGGCAGCAGGCCACGAGGGTAGACGAGGTGTTAAGGGCTGTCGAGGTGGAGAACGTGAGTTTTTTGTCCTTGCTGTGGGGGAGGGGGGGGGGGGGGGAGTTCTGACCACGAGAGCTGGCGTACGTGCTGCCCCAGGAACCATGTTGTCAGCGGCTGCGTTTCGGCAAGGCCCCTTGTTTTTGTGCTCGGCATGTTGCATCAGGAGTAGGTAACCTCATTGTCCAGAGGACATACCATCTACTATCGTGTGATATGACTTGGAAGCGTATGCTGTTGAAACGGTGGAAATGTTCAAACGTGCTTCGTCACGGTAACATTGAGATTTTGGTGTACGGTATTTTGTGTTGGTTGCTCGGTTGGCGGTTCTGCTGTCCCAGGCTACGGTAATCTCAGCCATAGTGCGACCGACGAAGACAAAGAAACACGTGCAGGGGTAGTAGATCCAGCCAGAGCTTTGCCTCTTCCAAAAGGGGACTGACGGTAGCCCACCCTCTGCTCACCATGCCTCCTTCTCTTTGACCATGCGGTCGCACACAGGCTCATCTGCTGGCGGCGCAGGTGGACCGTCGGAGCGCCGGCGCCCGCCTGGCTCTGCTCTGGCTCCACAGGCGACGGCAGCGCACGCAGCTGGCGGCTTGGCGTCAGTGGGCCAGGGCAACGGCGGAAGACCGGGACGCCGAGGAGAGGGAAGCGTGGCGCGGGCGGGCGGCGGCGCAGCTCGGGCGGGAGCTGGCCCGGGCGGTGGAAGGGGGGCGCCGGCGCCTCCTCCGGAGGTCGCTGCACGCCTGGCACCGCCACGCCGAAGGGCGGCTAGCCCACGCCGTCATGGTCGACCGCGAGGCGAGCGCGAGGGAGGCCGGGGCTCGCCGGCTGTTCGCGGCGCTGGAGCGCAACCTTCTCCGGCGGCAGGCCAGGGTGTGGGGCCGCCTCGTGGGCTCCGCGGTGGTCGCTTCCGGGCGGCGGCGGCGAGAGCGAGAGGCGCAAGAACGGAGAGATCGCCTCCTGGCGGTGGCGGAGTCGAGGTCGTCCCGAAGGCTGCTCTCGCGCGCGTGGTCGGCGTGGAAGGGGATCTCGGCCGAGCAGAGACACCGGGGGGAGGTGGCCGCGGTTCGGGCGGCGTGCGGAACGGCGATCGTGGCCGCGGTCACGCGGCGCAAGGAGGAAGACGCCCGGAGGCGGGCTCTCTCGCTGTGGCGCGGGAAGTCGCACCGGGGCCGAGAGCGGGAGCGCGCGCTCTCGAGGGCGGTTTCCTGCGTGCTGCGGGCCGAGGCGCGCGTCGATCGGGACCGCCTGGTGCGCTGCCTGGTGCGGTGGCGACTCGCGGCCGTGACGGGCGGGAGGACCCTGGCGGACGAGGACAAGGCGGCGGCGGAAGCGGCGTTCCGCGGGCAGACCGTGCTGTCAATCCTGAGGCGCAAGCGCGTGCACCGCCTGTGGGAGGGTTTCCGCCGGCTCGTCGACAACCGGACCCTTTCCGTGCTCGGGAGCAAGGAGGAGCAGGCTCGCCGAGACGACGTCTCGCGAGGGCTCCGCGGCCTGAAGCGGACGGCGGCGAGGATAACGCGGAGGCGAGTCGCGGGCGCGTTCGCGCGGTGGCAGTGCCACGCGGCCGAGGCGGGGCGGCGGAGCGACCGCGCCCTCCTGGTCTCGGCGCAGAGGCGGACGGGGGCGAAGATGCTCGGCTCCGTCGTCGCCCGCCGCGAGGCCTCCGCCCGGTCCCGCGCCTGGGCGCTGTGGCGGTCCGGGGCCGCCTCCGCCGCGATACACGACGGCGAGCGCGCCTCGGCGGACCTGCGCGTGTCCGGCGCGCGGCACTCGGCCGGGGCCCGGCTCCTGGCGACATCCATGGGCGGCGCCCGCCGCCGGGTGCTGTGGAAGGCCTGGCGGACGTGGTGCGGGGAGGCGAAGGCGGCCGCGGACGCGGAGCTGCAGACCATGGAGAGGCACTTCCACCTGGCTCGGACGCTGACGCGGGTGGAGAGGCGCGTCCAGCTGGCGTGGGTCCGCGGGGCGTGGCAGACCTGGCGCAGGAACGCGCGGTCCGTGGCGTGCGTCCCGCGGGTCGCGGAGCGCAGCCGGCGAGCCCTCCTGGCGCAGGGGATGAACCGGTGGCGCATCGCGAACGCCGAGCGGGGGCAGGCCGAGGCGGAGCGGGAGAGGGCGGCCGCCGAGGAAGCCGTGCGGGCCCGCGCGCTGTGGGGCCTGCTGAAGCGCCGCGCCAGCCGCCAGCTCGCCGAGGGGTTCAACCGAATCTTGATGCACGGCGCGTGGGTCATCTACCTGTCGAAGGAGGAGGAAGTCCGGGCCGACCGACTCTCTCAGGGTTTCCAGTGCCTCGCCCGTGCATGCGCTAGGCGGGGGGAGAGGAGGAAATCGGCCGCCTTGTCTCGGTGGAGACACGCCGCCTCCGAGAGCCGGCGGTATGAGGAGAGAGGCCTGCTCCAGGCCAGGAGCAAGCGGGCGGCCGCCAAGACCCTGGCATCCCTCGTGTCCCACAGGGAGAGGTCTCATCTCGCGCGGGCGTGGGCCATCTGGTGCTCTGGAGTTGCGTCGGCGGCGATCCACGAGGGCGAGCGCGCCTCCGCCGACCGGAGGGTGCTGGGGGCTCGGCAGTCCGCCGGGTGCCGGTTGCTCGTCGGGGTCCTGGGGTCGGCGCGGCGCCGAGCTCTGGCCAAGGCCTGGTCCGTCTGGCGCAAGGAGGTGAGCGAGGACACAACGAGGTGGCGTTGGCTGCGAAGTAAAATCAGGGGGTGTTTTTGCAGTTGCTCTTTGGCAAATATTGCATGACTGAAACTTTTTATTTGTGGCTTTTTGAACGCTCTCTCAACATCAACAAAGTTCAGTCCCCCAGTTTAAGTGCCAGCAACTCGATCCACCTCTAGTCCACGCGGCTTTTGAACTCCTGTGTGCCACTCTTTATAACGTCTGTTTACTTTTTCCGCAATAAACTGTGAGCATTCGAGTACTGGTCGATGTTCGTAGACGGATTTCAATGCAGTTGTAGAATGGGATGGTTAAAGTCCTTCGTGGTGTGCTGCAGTCGTTCACCCTTCGTATATAGCCGAGGATTAACCTGCCTTCTTTGTTACGGTGACATGTATGTGAAAGCGTCTGGCCTCAAATTGTACTGGTAGTCGTTAGAAGCGGCATGAGGTGACTCGACACCCAACGGTAGCCCCTCTTCTCTCAACGTCGTTAATGTTCCGTGTTTTGCTCTCCGGTCCATCGCTTGGCCCATCCGTTTTTTTGTCAGGTGAGGGCGGCGGCGGACGCGGAGCTGCAGAGCATGGAGAAGCACTTCCATCTCGCGCGCACCCTGACGCGGGTGGAACGGCGCACCCAGCTGGCGAAGATGGGGAGAGCGTGGAGGGCCTGGGGCGAGGTGGTGCGAGCCGAAGGGGAGGCCGAGCTGCAGCGGTTCGAGAGGCACTTCCACGTGGCCCAGACGGTGGCGAGAGTAGTCGCGAGGGTCCACCAGCGGCGGCTCTCGAGGGCCTGGAGCCTCTGGGCTAGGCTGGCCGCGCGGGGACGCCCTGCCCGTCGCGGGGTGTCGGCGTCGCTGTCCTCGCTTCCTCTGTTTGGCGCCGCCGCGGCTCGGGGTTCACACGGTGGCGCCTCGCGTCTCGCGCGGGTGGGTGTTGCTACGTCTCCGGGTGCTGGCGGCATCATCGCGGCTCCTCCCTCCGCGGCGGTTGACTCCGCCACCACCGAACAGCTGCGGCAGCAGCAGCAGCAGCAGCAGCATCAACAGGCCAGGCGGTCCGTCGCCATTATGTACGAGGCCGGAGCCGGGGCCGTGAGAGGTCTGCTGCGGCGGGCGGAGGCGCGGCGATTGTCCCGCTCGTGGCGAGCGTGGAGGAAAGCCACCACGGCCGACGCCACCCGGCAGGCGCGCGCGATCCTCGGGGCCACGCGAATCGAGGAGCTCTTCGTCGAGGCGCAAGAGAACCACACCGCGCGAGTCCTACGCCGCAGCTGGGCGAAGTGGGCGGGGTGGTCGACGGCGGAGGGCGGGCGCCTGGAACGGGAGGCCGAAGCGGCATCCTGGGCGAAAGCGGAGGCGGAGGCGGACGCAGCAGCGGCGGCCGCAGTGCAGGCCGCTGGGGTCACCGAAGAAGGCTCAGCCAGCGGCGCCGGTGGCCGCGCCAACAACCTCTGGTCGACCGGCACGGCGCAGCATGAGTCGACGCCCCCGGCCGGGACGCCGATGACGGAGGGCGTGAAGACACCTCACGGCGACAGCCGAAGGGGTCAAAAGTCGGGCCGGGTCGCGGCGTCGGCTTCGCCCCCGGGCTCCGCGGTGAGCGCTCTGCGGCGCAGGTTGCGCGGAGAGACGTCGCTGGAGCTGCCACCGGCAGCGGCGACTGAGACGAGTAGATCGCCCAGCGACGACGTGATTCCCCCGCACGGTCGCTTGGCGTCAGCAACGTCGCCGCCGTTGCCCAGGGCGTTGGCGGGCGGGTTGGAGACCCCGGCACCCCTTCTCCCACCTCAAAGGTTCGGCGGCGCTGCGGGCGACTCGACCCCTCCGGGAAGCGGGCAGGCTTGGTCGGATCAGTTGAACTACTCCTCTTCCCCTTTCTCGCCTTCTCAGCCTCCCGCTGCAGCCGGCGTCGCGATGCCCTCCACCTCCTTCTCCTTGAACGGCCGTGCGCACCCTGATGAGGCAGCAGCGCCATTCCCTGCGGACAGACCCGGCGAAGACCTGGGAAAAAGCGACAGCTTGGACCTTACCGCGAGCGGGGAGAGCTTCGGCGCACCTCAATCGCGCTCTGCCGGTGGGAGGGCGCTACCGACGACGACGGTGGACGCAACAACGGTAGGCGTTGCCCTTGCCAGCCCCGAGGGAAGCCTGGCCGCCTACATGTCGGACAGCAGTCCGCTTCTCGGAGAGAGTGTCCTGATGTTCCGGGGCGTGGGCGGCGGCGGCGGCGGCGGCGGCGTTGGTGGGGGAAGCGAGGAGGCATTCAGCGGCGGCGGCGGAGGGCGCGTGCTCGCGTTGTTCTCCGGGGAAGACTCGAAGGACGAAAGGCCTACAGCGGAAACACCGCCTCCGGCTAGCCCCGCCCGCCACGGCGACGAAACAAGCGGCACAAACGAGGGCTTCGCAGGCGTCGGTAACGGCAGCGAGGTGACGAGAACGACCTCCGCGAGATCACCTTTGTTGGCCGGCAGTGGCAGCGGCGGCGGCGGCGGTGGAGGGAGAGGCGGCAGACGCGGGCGCCCTCGCTTTCCAAAGTCGCCCCCTTACGTCGGGGGCTCGGTGGGGTTGTTGAGCTTGAGTCAGGGGTCACCACCCTGGGACGCGGAGGAAGAGGAGGGCCGGATTGGAGGCGGGGCCGAGCACCGACACGAGTTTTCTCCGTCGTACGGCCACGGGCATGACGGAGGAGACGAAACACGGCTGGAGGATGCCTTGGACGATGATACCGTAAGCGATGGTGCCGAAATGTATCAGTCCCACGACCGGTCCGAGCAGCAGCATCAGGAAGAGCCTGGGAGCGAAGTTCCGGTAGCTCCGGGCTTTCGTGCGGTTGATGGCCACATGGCTCGCGCCGCAGAAGACTTCGTGGACATCATGGCGTCGATCTTTTGGAGGTGGGCGTTCCAGCGCTGGGCGCGCGTCGCCCGCGATGCCGCGTTCACCCAGAAGGCGAACGAGACGAGGCTTAAGGTATGCATGAGTGAAGAGTACAAGACACCCTTGTAACAAGTATCGTCACGTGACGAATGACGTTCTTTTGGCAGGGCAGGACTCGGATACCGTACTTTTAAAACAGAGGTGGGAATATGCAATATTGATTAATGCCCTGGCTCATTCCCCTCCACCCCTTCCTCCCTTCACTGGTGAGGAAAAGGGCGGTTTGTCATGAAGGCTGAAGCGCGCGAGTAAATCCAATCATTTCACCTCCCCTTTCCCTGTAGTCATCTTCCTCCTCCCCGTCCCCCTCCCCCCGCCTTCTTAGGTGTTGCGCCTCAAGCGCCACCAGACGCTACGAAAAGTCGTCGTGGCCGCCATCCGCCGGCAGAACTTGACCCCGCAAGTTACCGACGCCCCGAGCGCCATGCGCAAGTGGAAGCAGCTCGTGCGCAGGTGCAGGGAGAACGATCGACTGAGCCAGGAGCTTGCGGGCCTGGCGGAGATGTCGCCGTTGACACCGGCGGTAGCGCGCCAGCGCGCATCCGCCGGGAGGAGGGTGTCCGACGCGATGTCGGGGGGGCGCAGCAGCGGTGGCTGGGATGGGGGGGGGGTCCGGGGATACGGGGAGGGGAAGGGTGAAGTCACGCCATCGTTTTCTCGGTCACCTTTTCCGGCCTCCGCGGTGGAGAGGTCATCCGCGAGGAGGAGGCTGTGGGACGAAACGTCCCCGAAAGTGTCACCGGTTGAGGAGGTTACAGACTCTTCTTGATGTGCTTGTTGGGCCGTTGAAAATATCTTGGGGCGATTGTGCCTGCGTTTTATCTTGTGGGCCACCCACCTTTTTCGCCAGAGCAGCTTGACGCCTCGTCGCACGCTGTGCGCTGGGCTTGTATGCACATGTGTATAGGAGTTTTTTTTTTCTCCCTGCTCTTTAGTTTGGTGGGACACAAGCGTTAGGCTTTTCTACGCGCATTCCCTTGGGTACACAGAACTGCGTCGGGGTGATTTGCACATGGGCCAAGCGCCCCCCCCCTGACGCATCGCCATGTACAGTAGTAGCACACGTTTCCACAAGGAAGGTGAACTGTTCACGAATACAATATACCAAAGTTTCCCGCGCCACGAGAATTTGGTGTCGATGCTCTACCCTGTTGACGTTTGGCCGTTGAACAAGGCACTGCACAGCATGACTGCCGTGTTCCAAACACCTGCATCTTCATGCAGTCGATAGACCATCTTTCCCTTACGCGAAACCGCTGTAAGACACAAAGTTGAAGCAGTTGGAGGATTTGACTGTAGTCAGGGCAAGGCTGGGCATCCCGGCCGCGGGCATGATTCATTACTCAACGCGAAACACACTACTTACGGCTGTTGCATGCTGAGGAACAACAGACCGAAACCAACCCCTTGGTTATCCTCGTAGAGGCTGTCGCTTCAAGACTCCGTCTATCCACCCGCGCATGATGCGAAAGTGTTTTTATCCGCTTGCTGCAACCTGCAAACTAGCGGGTTGCAGGGCATGCGTTTCGATAGTTTCACGATGTCCTTCTGCCCCCGCGAAGCCTCTAAAATGATTTATGATCGGGACGGCCGCTGTTCTCATCAACAAACCAACATCCACCCCGCCGGTTCCCTCGCTGCCTCTTCCGCCGTCTACTATTGACACAGCAATCCACCTCTCAAGCACGTTACATACCGCCTCTTCCTTTACACGCGCTGCTCTTGTGTGGACGCAACACGTTTCTTCTACGTTCTCCTGTGCAAGCTTGATCTCTTTGACGGGCCCGCCGATGACAAGACCTACAGCAGTAGGTCGTCAACGCAACGCAACCCATGGTTGCATCAGTCCGAGAGGAGATTGCTGGCGTCATCCAACGGCATGTACTGGATCTGGCGTCCCTGCTGCTGCACCTCGAGCACGCTGTCCGGCTCGTACTCCGGGTTGATAATCTTCGTCGCCCACCCGACCCCCAGGACATTGTTGAGGACGATGATAAACACCGCCAGCCCGAGACCAACGTAGCTCCACACGCCCAGGCCCAGCGCAGCCTGGACCTTCTCCCACACCGGCATCTGGTTCACAACCGCTTCCTGGTTGCCTACCCCCTCCCCCTCCTCCTCGACCCCCTCCTCGTAGTCTCCGCCGCCTTCAATCTCTCGCTCTGCGTTCCGCAGCGCGCGGGCCATCATCGCGGCGTTGCCCCCCCCTCTCGCTGGAGAGTCGTTGTCGCTGTCTTTGTCGTCGTCGTCGTCGTCTTCGCTTCCCCAAAGCCCCACCCCGCCGCCTTCCTTGAGGCCCTTGATGTACAAGATGGGGGCGTCGCTGTCCTCCGCCGCCTGCACCCGCTGCTGCTTTTCCTTCTGTTGCTTGAGGTGCTGCGGCACCGGCGCTGGCGCCGCTGCTTTCCCTCTGCCGCCCCCGCCGCCGCCTTCCGCGGCACCTTCGCCGCTACCGCTGTTGTTGCTGGTGGCGTCGAGGACGACGACGTGTCCCATGCTTCGCCGTGGTCGGACTCGCGCGAGAGCTGATCTCCGCGCCGGCGGTGCACCTGAGAGAACGGCCGGAGTTGTTCAGCGGTCGTGCAACAGGCGTGCTACTGTTAATAGCTCGAGGAGGTCGGAGGAGGGGGGGGTGCGCTTGCAAACATGAACGTCACTGATGCTGGGGTGGGGGGGGGGGGGTAAACCGGCGCACTTCTCCGCCGAAAAGCAGATCCGGTCGGTGGCGCTCGAGTATGCTTCACCAAAATTGCTCCACAGGGGGGGGGAGAGGTCGCGTTGTCAGTTATGGGTCGCAAGCACTAGCGCTGCTGTATATCAATAGCATAGGAACGACACATGTATCGACACGAGCGCCGGTGTCTATGTGTAGAGTTGGGTGAGTACTGCAAGGACCTGCAACAACAATGTCCATGTGTATCGGCCCTCGGCAGCGGCATCAGTATGCATTCCAGAAAAAACAAACCAGAATACTCGAGACGATGTTGCTGATGACAGCCGTTTGAATGTAGTACCAATCCTTCGTCCTCTTCTGTTCTACTGTATGTTGCATACTGCTGCTGTATGCTACTGTACAACTCACCAAGTTGAACACCTTGACACCGCCCGCATGTAAACAACGGCGGTGGTCTTGCTGAAGAACACGTGGGTCGGATGAGCCAGCCCGATGTCTCTCTCGCCATGGGGATCACCAACAATGCACATGCAGACAGCGAGGGCCACGAAAGAAGAGTGGGGCGCGTCATAGAGAGCTAGCAGAGGAGAGAGAGAACTACAGCAGGCAGTGGGGCAGACACACAGCACAGACAGAGCCAGCGGCGGTCGAGACTAGGGGCCACGCAGACAGTACCGCGTACGAGCCCTCTCACCAATCCGCGCGCCCTTGCAACATAGCACAGAGTCAACACCACCCAGGCAAGCAGCAAGCCAGTCAGCAGAGAGGTCAGCAGCTCACACGCTCGCTACCACAAAACCATGGCGGATAATGCTGCTGCTGCTGGTACCGGAGAGCAGAAGGTTTCCAAGAACGCTCTGAAAAAGCAGGTGTGAACCACGGGCCCCTGCATCTCTGCATGCTGCTGCTGTCGGGCTCGTTCATTTTTGGGTTGCAGCGCTCTCCGTTGGCAGGCAGCTCCGTGTATACGTGTACGCCATAACCCGATACGCATGATGGTGGACCCTCTCAGCTGTTCCCTGCAAACCTTAACCGCAGTCCCATTGATCTCGTCGATAGCTAATCGATAGAGAGCAGGATTGAAATGAAACCTCGTGCACAAACAAACGTAGACCACCTCGTTCTCGGCTGAGTTTTTTAAAAATTTTGCGCGAGCGAGAAATGACGAGAGCCACACAGCCTGTTGCTCAGGTGCTCCTGGCGCCGACAGGCAACACCACGAGTGTGCAACCGGCCAGAGCTTCACGTGTGCTCTTGGGGGCCTTGAGAAAGCTCCTTATTTTTCTTTTTTTGCTAATAGCAGCTGTGTGCTGCTCCATCTCCGGAATGCCTAAAAGTGTGCGCCTCATATGCATACAAATATGTGTAGCAGTAGAGCAGTGCACGCGACCAGGGCAGGCAACAACGGGCCAGTCTTGCCGGCTGCCGGCTGTGAGGCAAGAGAGTTGTGGGAAGGTGTAAAGGATTGTGCACACGTTTCACAAAGATACGCTCCTGGCCCTGTCAGAACCAGCAACAGTGGCGTGGCAATCAACAAAGGGCAGTCTGTCTAGTAGGAGTGTTTTGCGGCTGCGTTGGGGCTGTGGAGCGGTTGAAAAACGCTTTTACGGGTCATTCCAGCAACAACACGTTCGACGAAGTCACCATCGTGCTGTCTGTCACGTTGGCTTATGGTCGCCACGCCCGCCCCCCTACGTGCTGCAACGGTGAGGGCATCAGATGGCCAGCGAACAGAAATGCAACTAGATGAACGAGTCGCGCGGAGATATCGCAGGAGATCCTTATATATTGGTCCCAGAATAACCAGGAGTGAGCATGGTCATCACCGACAGGCAAACTACTACGGTACATACCACAGCAGTGGTATTTCCTCCCTCAGACACAACCACACCCCTCACCCTCAACCCTGTGTACCCACCGCTCGCCCCATCCCCACATCCACGTCGATGAAACACGCACCGTACCTTAACAGCTGAAGGCAGAAGCAGCCGCGAAGAAGAAGGCAGAGAAGGAAGCAGCCAAGGCCAGCGCCGCCGCCGCCGCGCCTCCCGCCTCCGCGGCGGCGTCCGCTAGGTCCAAGGCCAAGGCCGGCGCTGCCGACGAGGAGGAGCTGGACCCGACACAGTACTTCGCTAACCGCTCCAGGTGCGCGTGCGACAATAGCCCGATGTAGATGCGTATTGCTGTCTGTGGGAAGTTTTCAGCTTTGCAAGGTTAAGGTTTTAGTCGCAACATCGCAGCGGGTACTCAGTCGGGCGCCGGGGTCCTCTGTATGGTACAGCAGCAGTGTTGCTGTCCGGTTCTCTCAGGACTAGCATCTGCAGCGTTGCTCATGATACTGGTGCTGTTTGTGTTTTCGACGGGTGTGTGGAATGTTTTCGTTGCTGTTTTGTTGTTGTTTTCGGTGGGTTGTGGTGGTGAGAGTGGTGAGGGTCTGGTTGGTTCCTTCCACGTTGTCTGTCTGGCGGTCCCTGTAGTCCTCTCCTGCTCTGCCCGCAGCCTGGAGGATTCTCGCCCTTCATGCGCTCAACTCGGTGCCTTCGTGCGCTCAATTGTTTCCATGACGAACCACACACCAAACCTACCGTCCTAGTTGTCACAATCCTCCCCTCTCGTCGTGTGTTGAATATCCCGCTTACCCACCCCTCGGGGCCAGTTTATTTGAGTGTACCTTTTTAGGGTAAGTTAACCTGTGACCACGGGAATCGACCGCGTCGAGTGTTGGATCAGTACGGACATACGAAGTTACTGGATAGAGAGAGATCGGAACGGTTTTTAATGTGAAGACAACGACCACAACAACCCACAGGGCAATCGCCCAGCTGGAGGAGGAAGGAACCAACCCATACCCCCACAAGTTCCACGTTACGATCAGCATCCCGGAGTTCGTGGCAAAGTTCAAGGACGTGGAAGTCGGAGAGAAGCAGGTGGGTGGTGCGGTGTTGTAAGGTGGGCCGATGGCGAGGTAGACGGCTGGGCATGAGCGCAAGAGCCTGAGCAAACGGCCACGCGCTGCCATTTCTGCCTCGCGCTGCCATTTTTGTTTTTTCGTTTTTTTTTCATGGGATTTTCGTTCGTCGTTTTTGGTCTTATCTGTGTGGACAACTTTGTGGTGCCGCGTAATTTAACGCATATGTGGAGTGGGATGCTGGGCAGGGGCGTGTGCCACTTCGACGTTCTTCTTGTTTTTTGTAACCATGGCAACCAATGGGGTCTGGCCTGTTCCGTTTTCGCCACCGGGTGGCTCACACAAAACACCGAATCCTCACCTGGCCGCGTTTTTGTGGGCCTGCCTTTTGCCCCCCACCCCCCCCCCTCCCCTTCCCTTCCCGCCCAGACGAGAACGGTTGTCACCCCCTTTCCAGTGTCCCATCTGTTGTGCCCACCTTCATTTCTCGCTCCCTCCCGCATTCATCCTGCCTTCGGCGTGCTTCTTCTCGACATCTCGCCGTTGTCCCTAACTCGCGCTTGGCTGGTGCCATGTGGTGTGGTGTCAGGAGGATGTCGTGTCCCTCGCGGGCAGGATCGTCAAGAAGCGCGAGCAGGGCAAGCTGCTCTTCTATGGCATGAAGGCGGACGGTGCAAGCGTGCAGGTGATGGCATCTCTGAGCGACTACGAGGGAGGGGAGGAGGCGTTCTGGAAGGTGAGTTTTGGGTTGTTTTTTGAAGGTGGGAATAGGGGGAGGGGAGGGGCTATGCCGAGAGGAAGCGTGGGTCTGTTTGTGAACAGAGGAGGGAAAGTGAGTTGAGTTGGTGGTGCATTCTGCGGAGGTCGTCCTGTGTATGGATTCCCTCCATTTTGCCTGCTACTTTTGAAACACCCGGCAAGCATGCATACAGCACGCAGCATCCATTTCCGTTTATTTGTTTTTCATCTCCCCCCCCCCCCCCCCGAATGCATTCGAGAAAGAGATGAGGAAGGTACAATGCTTCGACGGGTGCGAAAATTCAGCTTGGTGCTGTACACAGTACGTAGCCAGGAGTGAACCACCCAACGACCGTCGTACTCGGAGGGTACAAAGCGCCAATACAGGAAGGGATAAGAGAACAAGAAATTCCTGAGTGACGGTGGTCTTCGGCAGAACCGTCGACAACACCCGACTGCTGTTGGTGATGTCTGTGTCAGGATGTCTACAAGTAGCGGTGGTCCTTCCAGCAAATATTTCCGTGCTCACTGGTACTTCGGGTTGCCTCCCCCCACCGCCCGCCGCTCTTTCCTCCGCCTTGATGATGTCAAAATGGGACAACAAAACGATAAACAGACGAACGGACTGCTGCGAAGAGGGGACCTGATCGGGGTGACCGGTTACCCCGGAAAGTCGAAGAAGGGGGAGCTTTCGGTTTTCCCCACGACGATGGTGTTGTTGTCGCCGTGCCTGCACATGCTCCCCAACTCCAGGGAAGGCCTCAAGAACCAGGAGGTGGGGAAATATGGGGCGCGAGGGGAAACAGGGGGAGGGGGGGGGGGGGGGGTGTACTCATAGTCGTGCATGCCGTAGTCATTAGACCATTGACCTCGCATCCCTACAAAGCCGGGACGGAGCACGCCGGGTTCTCACCGGACCAGGCTCTCACATCACCAAGCGCGAAGCGCCGTGAGGTATTTGGCGAGTCGCATGAAGGGTGAGCTGCCATCCTGCTAAGGGTGTTCGGCATCTTGTGCTTACTTCCTTGCGTACGGATGACAGCTACGTATGACTTAATTTATTTTCTGGTGCTTTCACTTCCAGAGACAGTTGTAAGCACTGTGTAACTGCCTCGAGGGTGCTTGACCATTTTAACACAACGTGGTGCGATCATCCCCCGTTGCGCGGAGTGAGGGTTCTCGACGCCGCACAACATGATCTACTCGACCACCATTATGGTTACCGCCAAAAAAAAAACCAGAGGTAAAAAACCCCCGGTAACCTGGTTGCCGAGTTCACGAAGTGAATTGGCTTGTTTTACAACGTCGTGGCCAAGCGACGAAAACCCAATCCCGATGGCAAACACCGAGGGGGCGGCTTGTTTTACAACGTCGTTGCCAAGCGACGAAAACCCAACCCCGATTGCAAACACCGGGGGGGGCAGGGGGGGGGGGGGGGGGGGTGTACTCATAGTCGTGCATGCCGTAGTCGTTTGACCATTGACCTCGCATCCCTGCTAAGCCGGGACGGAGCACGCCGGGTTCTCACCGGACCAGGCTCTCACATCACCAAGCGCGAAGCGCCGTGAGGTATTTGGCGAGTCGCATGAAGGGTGAGCTGCCATCCTGCTAAGGGTGTTCGGCATCTTGTGCCTACTTCCTTGCGTACGGATGACAGCTGCGTATGACTTAATTTATTTTCTGGTGCTTTCACTTCCAGAGACAGTTGTAAGCACTGTGTAACTGCCTCGAGGAAGCTTGACCATTTTAACACAACGTGGTGCGATCATCCCCCTTGCGCGGAGTGAGGTTTCTCCACCCCGCACAACATGATCTACTCGACCACCATTATGGTTACCGCCAAAAAAAAAAACGAGGTAAAAAAAAAACCGGTAACCTGGTTGCCGAGTTCACGAAGTGAATTGGCTTATTTTACAACGTCGTTGCCAAGCGACGAAAACCCAAACCCCGATGGCAAACACCGAGTGGGGGGCTTGTTTTACAACGTCGTTGCCAAGCGACGAAAACCCAAACCCCGATGGCAAACACCGGGGGCGGCGGCTTGTTTTACAACGTCGTTGCCAAGCGACGAAAACCCAACCCCGATCACCGGGGGAGGGGGGGGGGGGGGCTTGAGGGACGTTTGTGGTACGCCGTGCATGCTGCTGCTGCTTCTTCTGCTGCTACTCACGAAAAATTGTAGTTTGTTGTCGGCCAATGTCGTCGAGGGCATTACCCCCCCATTCCCATTCCGACAAGCCTTCGCTTTCTTGAATGCCCGGAACCGAGAATCATCTTTTGACAATCCGCACACCGTTGTTTTACGCCATCGTGGCCGTTTGTCGTCCGTCCTGTTGGTGTTTGTTTTGTGTGTGGTCGGTGGAATCTCGCGGTGGCGCCGCCGCCGTCCCACCCGCCCGTGTTCCCATGTGCATGTGCATGTGCAGACCCGCTACCGACAGCGGTACCTGGACCTCATGACCAACGACGAGACGAGGAGGGTTTTCCAGGTGTGTGGGGGCGGGGCGGCGCAGGGGACAGCCAGGCAGGCGAGGTAGACCGGCAGACGTTGGGGCGGCCCTCGGTGATGTCCGGGGCTCTCTTGTGTGTCTGTTGTTTTCGCGGATTTTTGCTGTTCTCGACGAAGGACGTGCACGTCTCGGAGCTATATAGCTGCCTTAACTACGTACAAGTGTGTGGGTGTGCCAACACGCTTGGTTACCTTTCGCGATGATGTTGGCAATTATCACCTGCATGCTGGCGCTTGGCTTGCGCGTGTTGTGACAATCAACCCTTTTTTGTGTCCTGTGTTTTTTCTTTTTTTTTCCGGCAGGTTCGCTCCAAGGTGGTGAACTACATCCGCTCCTTTTTGGACGAGCGAGGTTTCCTGGAGGTGCGTGTGCCAAGGTGTCGTGTTTTTGAAGGGGATCAGTTCTCGGACGATTCCATCTTGTTGGATGAAGATATCTACGGTAAGCGCTGGTGAGCGAGTGCCGGGACTGTCTGCGGGAGAGCGGCATAGGTTGTCCCCCAATGAATTTCAATCCCCCATCGATTAAGGACCCCGTATTGAGGTATTCCTGGGCTCTATCGCATGCAATGGTACCATATCATGTGCGTACAACCAAATGCCAAGGAGCGAGCATACCAAGCGATTCTGGTTGTACCCGTATTTACCCGTCCTTTCCTTTCCTACCTGTTGCCTGCGCGGCTGCTCCTGCTCCCGCCCCCCACCCCCCCCTCGCCCCCCCTGAGAGTCGAAACGCCTATTTTTCTTCCCCGTTTTTGTGCTCCCGCCTGTGCAGGTGGAAACCCCGATGATGAACATGGTGGCCGGCGGCGCGACGGCCAAGCCCTTCGTGACCCACCACAACGACCTGAACCTCGACCTCTTCATGCGCGTGGCCCCCGAGCTGTACCTGAAGATGCTGGTCATCGGAGGCCTTGACCGGGTCTACGAGATCGGCCGGCAGTTCCGGAACGAGGGCATCGACCTCACACACAACCCGGAGTTCACCACCTGCGAGTTCTATCAGGTGCGGTGCCTCGTGTGTCTCGTGTGTGCTGACTGACTTGTCGGTGCTCTGGTGCTCTTGGTCTCTCTGGTGTTACCAAACTACCGTTGTGTGTGCGTGTGTGAGGATACCGTTTGCCGGAAGCCAGAGCACGCTTACAGCTTTCACACACGGTGCAGCACTCAACTATACCCTGGTTTCCGCTTTGTGTGTGTTTTGGGGGCTGCGGAGGGTCTGTGTGGGAGGGATGCCTGAAGACGATGTACACGTCTGTTGTCGGCGGGCGAAGTAAATGGGGGTGACGCCAGCACTCTTCTTGAGAATAGTAGGGCGACGACGACTTCCGCCACCACGAAAGCACCATTCTCAGACCACGTCGTTCTGCTGCTGTATCCCGTCACAAAAATACGGCACCGACGTCTCTGAAGGCTAAAACAAGCAGTGAAACAAGCTCGAAGTACTGACTCGAAAAACCTGTTAAAGGTGCGATGACCAGAGAGCCATGTGTTACGTCGTCCAAGCCTGACTCCACCCACAGACTTTTGACCATTTTTCCCGTCCCTTCCCGCCACCTCTGCTTGTTTCCTAACAAACGAACACCCCTTTTACTGTTACCCCCCGACAAAAAAAAAAAAAAACAGGCCTACGCCGACTACGAGGACCTCATGTCGATGACGGAGCAGATGATCTCCGGGATGGTGAAGAAGATCTGCGGCTCCTTCAAGATCAAGTACCAGCTCAACCCGGGTGAGGATCCCCTGGAGGTGGACTTCACGCCGCCCTTCCGGCGCGTGAGCATGATGGACGGCCTCGAGGAGGTGCTCAAGGTCAAGCTTCCGGCGCTCGACGATCCCGAGGTGGGCGTTGCTTATACATTATAGGTGTGGGTGGGGTTTACACGGAAACGGAGGCGTCGAGAGAGGGGGGAGGGGGTTACGGCAAACGGGGGGTTGGCGGTTTTTAGTGTTGGTGTACTTGTAGTAGAAAAATTGGTGTGGGTTTCAAGGGAACGGAGGGAGGGAGGGAGGTTGGGAGTTTATTGTACGGTGGCCTTAGCGTGGTTGTCCATCCAATGTGCACCCGCCGCTGCGTGGTGGGAGATGTGGCCGTTTTGGCCGTTGTTTGGAGTGGGATAGGTGCGTGTGGCTGCGGCACGCCCGCTGCCGTCTCTATTCCACAAACGTGCGTCATCGTCATCGAGATTTGAACGGTGTTGTTGTTCGCATCCAGCAGGTGTGGTTAGATGACCGATAGGGGAAGTTTCTCGTCTGCCATGTCGAGGCCTAGATCTACCGAAGAGAGTCAATAGTGCTGATGATTCCGCACCGGCCTGACTGGCTTTACGCCCATCTGTCCCGTTGGTGTGTTTTCGTGCAGATCGACGGCAAGCTGCAGGCGCTGCTCACGGAGCACGGGCTGGAGTGCGCGCCCCCGCTAACGACAGCACGCCTGCTGGACAAGCTGGTGAGTTTAGTTACGGTCGCCTCTTCGTCTGAAAGCTTATCAGAGGCGTGTCTGGGAGGGGGCACGGCAGAGAACACTACAACATGAAGAGGGAACGGGGGGGGGGGGGTAACTATGGAAGGCAAGAGGGGCGGAGAAGGATGAGTACAGGCGAAACGGAGAAGGACAACGCCGAGATTGGGGGGCTAAAGTTTGTCGGAGATGAAGGGGTGGAACGGAGACACACAGCGCATATATAGAGGCTGAATTTTTTCTTCAGCGAAATGTCTAAGACGGATGTTACCCGTGTCATGTCATGCATGATTTGCCGGGGGGGGTTCGGTATTTTCCAGCGTTGCTGTTTGTTGTACAGCAGTTCCTAGGGGTACGTTTGGCCCAAAAAGCCGGCCGGAGTTGAGGGCGGGCCTTGCTAGATGCGCCCCTCCCTCCCTCCCTTGCTATGCATACAAGTGTATTCTAAAAACATGTCATGTGTCACTTCCAACGATGTGTGTGCATACACAGGTTGGCGATTTCTTGGAGGACAAGTGCGTCCACCCGACCTTCATCACCGACCACCCGGAGATCATGTCTCCCCTGGCCAAGTACCACCGCTCCAGGCCCGGGCTCACGGAGCGGTTCGAGCTCTTCGTCTGTGGGAGAGAGGTGAGAGAGAAGACTCCTGTTAATACTTCGGAGAAGCGTTGTGTTATTCTGTTGCACATGTACCGGGCTCTGGGAAATGGTGGTTCCCACGTATGTCAAAAAATGTTTCCTGCTCGGGTTTGTTGCTGTTGGTGTGCGTTTGCGGGGACTTTCCCCCTGTTCTGAAAGTCCTGTCTCGTTTCCATACACGCTCTCCCCCCCCACCCCCCACCCGCGCTTGGTATCCCTGGTGGTGATGTTCACGTCCTGTTCTTGTTCACACGACCTTCGCCGGCCCTTCCGCCCTTTCTGCCGTTACCCTTGCCGGCGTTTGTTTCTACGTATGCGCTCCCACCGCTGCTGCTACTGCCAACGCTACTGCAGTTGTGCAACGCGTACACGGAGCTCAACAACCCCATGGTGCAGCGGCAGCGGTTCCTGGACCAGTCCAAGGCCTCCGTCGCCGGCGACGACGAGGCACAGGTGCACGACGAGGAGTTCTGCACGGCCATGGAGTACGGGCTGCCCCCTACCGCCGGCTGGGGGGTGGGCGTCGACCGCCTGACCATGTTCCTCTCGGACAAGGTGGGTGACAAGCCGCTTCTGCTGCCGTCGCTTGTGTGCGTGCTGTTGGTGTTGAGGGGTTGTTGTTGATGTTGTTGTCGTTGTTGTTGTTGTTGTTGTTGTTGTTGTTGTTGTTGTTGTTGTTGTTGTTGTTGTTGTTGTTGTTGTTGTCGTTGTTGTTGTTGTTGTTGTTGTTGATGTTGTTGTTTTTGTTGTCGTTAGTTTTTACGGCGATGAATGATGCTCACGGAGTGTCGGCACGAGAGGGACTCGCGAGGCAGCGCTCGCCTACATATGTAGTGGCAACGTACGCGCTCTGCGTGCACCAGCACCTGAGGACACGGAAATCTAAGTCAGAATTTCGTCGTAAGGCTGGGACTCTGATCGCACCAAGCAGCTGTACCTGCATCAACTTAGCCGATGGGCTCTCGCCAGCCTTCTGGGCGTTGTTACCTAACGACTCCCCCCTCAACTCACCCCCTGGTTCCCGCCTCATCATGTCTGGCGCATCATATTTTCGTGTTTACCCGGGGCCCCTTTGTTTGTACGCAAAAACCTGTTGTCTCTTCTCCCGGACAGAACAACATCAAGGAAGTCCTGTTGTTCCCCGCCATGAAGCCGGAAGAGACGGCGGCTCAACAATCCACGTCTCGCGGGATAGGGATGGCACCGGCGGCGGCGGCGGCGGCCGCGCCAGCGGCGAAGGCGGCAGTGTCTTACCCTCCGCTGTTTGCGAGCGGGTCCAGCCTGCTGAAGGACGTCGACCTAGCGTCGACGACGGGGATCCAGAAGCTCGAGGTGATGCGCGGCTTTGATACTTAGTGGCACGCAGCGGTAGTGCGGAACACGAACCGGGATGGTGATACTGCTGTAGCGAGACGGTCAAGCGTGGTGCGAAGTGCGGTGTGTCATCCGATCATCCCCTTGTCGTTGGCTCGATGAAGACACGACACGCACGCTAACCTTCCTCGCTCCTGTCCCCCTCCTCGCCTTTTGGCGCGAAAACGCCACGCCCGAACACGTCTTGTCTTGCGCACAGGGGCTGCTCAAGGGAAAGTCGTTCCTGGGGGGTCCGAGGCCCGGATCGGAAGACGCTTGCGTCTACGCGGCTGCCTCCTCCGTGCCCCCCCCGTTGCTTGCGACCTCGCCCGCCGTAAAGGGGTGGTTGAACACGGTCGGCTTCTTCTCTCCCTCCATGCGAGCGAGCTGGGGTGGTGGTGGTGGTGGTGCGGCTTCGGCAAGCTCTAAGAAGGGGAAGAAGGCGGCAGCGAGCGCTGCTGCTCCTGCGGCAGCGGATAAGAGCAGGGCGGTTGAGGTCGGCGGTGGCGATGAGGGGGACGATGTGGACAGCTTGTTCGGAGACGATGAGGCGGGGGAGGAGGGGGAAGCACCGGCGAGCGGGGCCGGGATGAGCCGGGCGGAGCAGATGGCGGCGGCCAAGTCTGCCAAGGACGCCAACAAGAAGGTCGACAGGTGAGAGACCCGCGCTGCTGCGCCTGGTGGAGTTGGCGGGACAACCGAGAAAGTGACGTGGTGTAGACTGCGGGACTCCTGCTGTGGTGATGTGGAGGAAGTATTGGGCATGAAGATTGCAATACCAATGTGACAAGTAGCACCGAACGAAATCAAATTGTTTGAGGACCCAAGTGACTGGGCCGTGCCGCAAACAAGACCTCCGTTGATTGTTTCGTCTCTGGTGTTGCCCTCGTGTGCGTTGTTTTTTCGGGGGGGAGGGGTCCTGTGCTGCACCGCGTTGGTTCATGTCTTTGTCACTACAAGCGTAGGAGAGGCACAGAAAAGACAGAGAGAGGATACAGCCGTCTATTATCCCGTCCTTGGCCATTATCCCGTCCTATTATGCATGCAGAACACGCCCCCACTTTCTTAAATATTCCCGTCAAACCCAATAAAGAACAAAAAACGTGTTCGTTCCGGAAAATGCCAGGTCCCAGATCGTGTTCGAGGTGAAGCCGTGGGAAGCTGGCGCCGACCTCAAGGGTTTGTTCGACAAGATCCGCAAGACGGAGATCGATGGGCTCGTCTGGGGAGAGGCTCACAAGCTGGTGCCCGTGGCCTTCGGCGTGAAGAAGCTGGTCTTGTCGTGCGTCGTTGTTGACTCCAAGGTGAGAGAGGAACGAGGAACCGCGGATTGGGGAGCGCGCTGGGGGGGAGGATAAGACTTTTTTTTTGTCGTAAGCGGTTGCAAAAGGGGCATTTTTGAAGAACAGGGGAGGGTGTGTGTGGGGGGGGGGGTGTACTCATAGTCGTGCATGCCGTAGTCGTTAGACCATTGACCTCGCATCCCTACTAAGCCGGGACGGAGCACGCCGGGTTCTCACCGGACCAGGCTCTCACATCACCAAGCGCGAAGCGCCGTGAGGTATTTGGCGAGTCGCATGAAGGGTGAGCTGCATCCTGCTAGGGGTGTTCGGCATCTTGAGCCTACTTCCTTGCATACGGATGACAGCTGCGTATGACTTAATTTATTTTCTGGTGCTTTCACTCCCAGAGACAGTTGTAAGCACTGTGTAACTGCCTCGAGGATGCTTGACCATTTTAACACAACGTGGTGCGATCATCCCCCTTGCGCGGAGTGAGGGTTCTCTACCCCGCACAACATGATCTACTCGACCACCATTATGGTTACCGCCAAAAAAAAAAGGCAAAAAAAAAAATGGTAACCTGGTTGCCGAGTTCACGAAGATGAAATGGCTTGTTTAACAACGTTGCCAAGCGACGAAAACCCAACCCCGATGGCAAACACCGGAGGGGCGGGTTGTTTTACAACGTCGTTGCCAAGCGACGAAAACCCAATCCCGATGGCAAACACCGGGGGGGCGGCTTGTTTTACAACGTCGTTGCCAAACGACGAAAACCCAATCCCGATGGCAAACACCGGGGGGTGTGTGGGGGTGTGAGGGGGGGAGTAGGGAGGGCAAATTTTTTTTTGGTGTGTGTGGACGTGTGGACTACGAACGGGTGCGCAGGGTCCGGCATGCCCAGCCTAGACCCAAATTGCTGCTATTTCTTGGTTGGCACGCATATTTTTGCGTGCGTGAGAGTTGAGATGACTCAACGCGCTTTTCTTTTTTTTTCCTGGTTGGTTGAGAATGACCCCCTGCTGCTGCTGCTGCTGCTTGGACATTTTTTCGTTGAGCAGCTGCTTGCATCTGCAGTTTTACCATAACGAAGGCGCAGGTATGCAGGGTTGTTTGTTGAGCCATGTAGTCTTTCGACTTTCGACTCGGACGTGACGCGCGGAAGATTGTTCTCGTCCGTAACGATCCCTGTACTCCCCCCGTCCGTCCGTCCGTCCGCGTGGTGTGGCGTAACAAAAGGTCGGCGTTGAAGACATCACTGACGTCATCGAGAAGTTCGAGGACGAAGTGCAAAGCGTGGATATGACCACGATGAACCGATTGTAACGGGCCCGCCTTCAGTCGGGTTGTGGGATCGTCCGAATCCAACAGTTACTTGCAAGCAGTTATTGTAGCCTCTGCCGGCCGGCTGGCTGGCTGGCTCGATCTCCTTGCTGTCTGTTGCGGGCCTATAATAGCAACGATATGTAGAAGGCAAGATACCGCAGGTTGAGGGCGTGTTGTCTTGCTGGTTCATGACGGCAGTGGTGGAATGAACAAGTTGTCCAAAGGAGGGAATATGAGAGTGTTCATCTTTGAGAGCAGGTGTTGCGTAGAGCCTCGTTTGGGGCAGAAGGTGGTTGAGGCTGCACGTACCTCCCTCTCTGTAGTGGCTTGGGAAGACGTGCACGCCGTACGGCACCCGCTCCTGACGTGCTTGCTGCCTTTCGGAGTCTAATCGTTGCCGTTTCTCTGTGTCATTAGATGCGTATCGATGGGCCGTTCCTTCCGGGGTCGGTGCCACCGCAAGCTGAGGTTGAAAGACGTCTTGTAAGCATCCAAGTCCGGCCGGCCTGGTTGGGAGCGTCGTTTCGCAGGATGGTTGGTTGTCGTACGTAGTGGATCGTACGATACGATGTAGCGGGTTTGTAAAAGCACCGGATTCAAACGGATCGCCGGCGATGAGCGTGAATTGGCGTTGAACATCCGCGCTGTGGTGCTCTATACAGTCTGCTACCATGTTATTGGGGGCAGTACGGTGCACAATGGCGAGCCGAGTACAGCAATGGACAGGCAAACTGAACTCGCGCTAAAAGCCACGTTGTTGTGGGTCTCTACCCTCACATCAGGGTTGTCACCATCAACAAGACGACCATTCAAGCCCTTTTTGTATTTGCCCTACGTTGACAGGCCTGGAAGGCGATGGTGGATGCAATCATCCATCACGCGATCACCAAATCGATCATGAAACCACACAAACAACAAGGCGCAGCTCTGCAAAAACTGCGTTGTTGTGGAGAGCCTCCTTTTGCAGGCGTACTTTGCGAGTTCTTCGACACCTCACGCACGTGACCGATCTTTTTTACTCTCTTTGCACTTCTCCATTCGTCTTTTGCATTCCCCTTGTCTCCACCACACAGAAGCAAACCTGCCTTCTTGATCCAAAAAGGAAGGACGATTGTTGTGAATTCTGAAGCAACGCCCACGACAAAAAAAAAAACTGGTTCCTTTCCCACAAGAGGTTTTACTCATTTCCGTGCCACCCCCGCGGATTTTACCATTCCATCATTTTGACACTCACTCTTCGTCCCGTCCCATCATCAACCAATAATGTGAGCGGTGCTAATCCTCTCAGACCGCGCCCCCTGCCCTTCTCTGAAATATCTCCGGCCCCTATCCCCCCCCCCCTCCCAGCCCTTTCGGGATCTACGATTACGTTGATAAAATGTTCAGCGAAACGCACGTGTGAGATGCTATTTACAGCAGAGGAGGTACAGCGGATCCGACGCCATCATCAGTGGAAGGCAGGCGGTATACATAGTAGGGCACGTGAACCAATGCTGCTACCGTTTACACGATACGGTACGAACGAGCTGCGCACACACGGACACGGAACACAAATCAATCTAGCCGTAACATTTGTTGAATAAACACAAGCAACACGCAACAGAATCACCAACCAAAGAGTAACAGAGGACTGACATTGAAAACTTAAACAACTACAGCAGTAGATAAATAAACCAAACATTCCGTCGAAAACAAAAACGCCCACGCCCTCACAACTACTCACCGCCCCCCACGCCCTAAAATGCAAAAAAACACTCTCTCTCACACACACCATCATGTCGTCCACAGCGAGCTGAACAGAGATACTAGACAAAGGTCGCGCCTCGACGTTCTGTTGGCCGGGCTCAACAGCAGGAAGGGCGGCGCGAGAAAATCAAAGTCGTGATAATATCGAGTCTCGCGACGGCTCGCATTCAAGCATACGTCAAAAACTGTCAGCACCAAGATTGGCCAAAGCCTTGAGAAAAAGGGGGGGCCTCTACTATCTTGGTTGACTGAGAGCAACGTGTATTTTTGTCCACTACTGTGCTCACTGCCTGCCTGCATGCTTCTCTGCCATTAGTACTGACAGACAAAGTTGCTGCTTACTCAGGCCTCTCGAAGCACGTAACATAAGACGCAATATTACTTCTTGTGTACTGATGTGCTACAAAAAGTGACCTATGCGAGGACACAAGACAACAGCAGCACAAACAAAACACCCACCACAAACACCGCACCGCTTCAACAGCGCTCCAGCTTTGCGAAAGGGAAAGCAAAAAGCGCAACAAAACGTAGAGAACAGGCAAACATTCCTTACTGTTGCACAGACTGCGTGGCACAGAGCTAGATCATTCTTCCGATCCTAACCCCCAAGCGCCGCCGGACATCAAGTAGAGGACGTGGCCACCAAAACAAAGACATAAGAGAGGGATGGGAAAGGATGGATGAACTGCTGTTGAGCTCCGAAAAACCTACATAAAAACAATCCAAACAACCGACATACATTTCCATCGATTTGCGGGACATCCAGCCAGCCCCACGGCGAGTCTTGTTAACAAGAGCAGTCCTTTTCCCGGTCGTCTACCACT